CCGTAAATACATACATACATACATACATACATACATACATACATACATACATACATACATACATACATACATACATACATACATACATACATACACACACTACTACAAATGATAGTAATCATTTACACACAAACATAGATACATACCCAACTTTCGTTATCCCTCTATGAGTTATTTAGAAGTAATGTCGTCTGGAAACCTTCCGGAGTTAATTAACTAGTTATCAAGTTCGCTCAAGAACAACCAGTTTACCACACAGCGAAATTCAGAGAGCAGGTCAGCTGTCTCTGCTGTGCCCCTCCAAACCCGATTTCGACATGTATAATATCAGTCAACAGCAAGCCACGAGCCTATCGAAACGCTGGTGCAAAAAATGCGAAATGCAAAAAAAAAAAACAACAACAACAACAACAAAACCCACCCCAAAAAAAACCGTCATTCGTGATTGTAGAAATTATTTTTGAATCCAACAATAAATGTTCTCTCCTTTCATTATAAGTCATGCCATGCTGTTCCAACAGATTCAACCTCAGAACAGTGTACTGTAACTTATATTTTTCTTTAAAGGGGTGGGAGTTTGGGTAATGGTGCAATTAGCTATTAACCTGTAATAAACTTTACCACACATGGTCACATCCTCTTCTATTCATTTGCAGCTCTGTGTTTGAGCAGCAGTTTAAAAAAAAAAATACTTGATCTTTTCAAGTTGTGGCATTGCAGAATTTTTTAACAGATTAAAAAAATGTCCGTAATTTGAATGGGAAAAGGAGATTCAAGGCACCTCGCTGCCAGGCTCCGACAAAACACATTTTTTTTAAAAGTCATGGTTCCGAGACATTTGCGATTTTATGTTTTTACTCAAAATATCGTCTATTTCATCGATGATAAAAGTAAATTATGTGTCCCTCTATTACCAAACCTATTTTTTTTAACGACAAATAAACAAATAAGGAAGAAAAATGTGTTTTGTCGGAGCATCCCTAGATAAATGTAGGCTATTCTTCATGAAACACATTCTTTCAGGGTGTGCTCCGACAGAACACATTTTTTAGGGGCGAAGTGTTAAAAAAATGTGTTTTGTCGGAGCATCCCTAGATAAATGTAGGCTATTCTTCATGAAACACATTCTTTCAGGGTGTGCTCCGACAGAACACATTTTTTAGGGGCGAAGTGTTAAAAAAATGTGTTTTGTCGGAGCATTACTAAAGAAATGCATTTTTCAGTTTATACATGTTTGCCGGGTGCTCTGACAAAACATTTTTCTTGCTATTTAGAGCAAGAAAATGTGTTTTGTCGGAGTACTCCTACATAATGACTTTTCATGGACACATTTTAAGGGACTGCTCAAAGTACTTTTTTTTTTCGTGAACGCTGATGCAAAAGAAGTTAAATCAATCTACTTTTGATCAAAGCAAACAAACAAAATGGAAATCAGTGGAGACGTCAAAAGGAGTAATATCTTTATGAGAAATATAAAAATTTGCATAAACTATTCGGCGCAATTTATTCGCTTTCTAACTATTATGGCCTACATCAATGACACATTAGTTGAAAAACTTTAATTAACAAACGCAAAAACGCGAACTCCTGATAAATGACTATCGAAATTATAAATTTGAAAAATCTTTCTCCCACATTATAATTCATCTGATGAGGAACAGCATGATGGCGAGGAGGGAATCGTAGACGGGTATTGTGACAGAGAGAAGCTTTTGGTCAAATTCCGTCATTCTTGACTTTATTAGATGCCAGTAAAAGTGTGCGATTCTTCAAACAATCTTCAGTTTATCACAAAAAACTATCAGTATACTAATACAAATATAAGTAAAATATTGTTTGTTTAATCAGCAAAAAGGACTAAATCGCATATCTCGAAACTTCGATTTTGAAAAAAAAAAAAAGCGTTTTATCAGATTATGTAAGTACAGCTGGTTCAACCTGATGTCCTGACAATACAATGTCGTCATGGGCTGACTCCAGTCTCGTAAACAGCTATAGCTCTTTTCTCTCCTTTTCTTTGCACATGGTGTTACTCGCTTCTTTTAATCTTCTGAACTTATATGCTCTAATTGTGTTGCAAGTGCCGTAAATATAAGCTAAAGAGTCATGTGATACCAATTCAGATACTTGTTACACACTAATGCGTTTATGAAATTGCAAGAGGGTTAGAAAATAAAATGATGTCCTTGTCCTCAGCTCTCAGTTCCCATAGCTGATGGATTTGTATACAGTACAGCAACAAAACAGTAGGGGAAAGGGGGGGGGGGGGGCAAAATGAGAAAACAACAAAGAAATAGAAGGTGATCAAATGTAAAAAGCACAGGCTGCTTATCAAAACAAACATATCCGGCTTAATTTCTTTTAATTTCGCAATCAGCTGTTTGGCTGACAAAACCTGAGTCGCCAAGTCTTTCCAAAACTTGATAAATCCTGTGAAGTCTCCAAGACTCGTAGACTGGTTTCTCCAGAATTTATCCACGGCCACCGCTGCGATCTTGTCGTCGAAGTGACCGAGATACTCATCGTACCGGATGACGTTGATGCCCTGCACGTTGACGGACTTGTCTTTGAGCATGAAGTCCGGCACAGGTATTCATTTGGTCATACCTTGATGTTCTTCACGAATGGAAACAAGCTTAAACATAGTTGCTCCGCACATTTTTTCTCAGCCACACTCACATTTAAGAAGGCATGTACGTATAATGTGTTTCTATCTTTCGTGTTCCTGTTCCAACAAAAATTGCTACCTATGTTCAAACTGTACCTACCAAGGCAACAGCCGATACAGGGGTCTGTGGACGTCAATGCACTTCAATGGCCATGGCTGCCATTGCTCAAAGTCAAGAGTGTGGCAGGCTGGCAGCCTATTGATATGGATGACATACTGAGGAGGGACGACCAAATTTACTAGCTTTCATCGGAATTCTCATTCCATAAGAAGTAGTGAAATCAATTGACATTGATTTTGACACCGTAACACTAAAGACGCTTGTATATAAACCGTGGCGTTTTCAATCTTTGTGAGAAAGATGATAGCCTTACTTGAGAATGTCCGATCGGCATGCATTTTGACATTTGGACAAGAGTGTTCCTCATATGCAATTGCATTTATTCTTGAGGGTTCTGTTACATGTTTGATTCTCATAGCAGGGGTGTGAAAGAATTGTGCGTACCTGATGGGCGTGCATACGTTACAAAACATTTTGAGAGATGTGGTGTCCTTTGTTGCTGTTTTTGCTGCTTCTGTTGGTCTCATAAATGTATACCTGTTCGAAGTGGTTGAAATTGAAATGCTCTTGGATAATCAAGACATTTTTCTTGATAGCAATGACTGAGCGCTGAAGAATGCCTTCCTCATATGCAGCTTACAGGTAGTCCAACCAATAATAATTTGAAGTCTCCTGGAATCTCTGACGAAGAGGACATGCCTTTCATTCAGGTTTTAGAGCATCAAACCAGTGAAGACGATTGGAATTTCTGATGGAGAGGAGAAAACGAGAGCCAAAAAGCATCCATCACAGCTGGATACAATAAGTAGCTCCTCAGTTATAGCACAAGACACAGAGGAGCACACCCTACAGTTGGACACAGTGGGAATGGATAGCTCCTCGACCACAACAAAATGCACCGATGAGCACCCCTCACAGTTGGTTTAAATAGACAGGTCACCAGTCTCAGCAAATTTCACAAAAGAGCGAAGGCAGAGAAGGAGAAGGCAAAAGACATGGACCATTGGAGTGTTAACATCAGGAAGAGGATGAGAAACCACAGGGAAGAAAATGAGACAGTTTCTGGTGTATTGAAGAGGAAGAGAGTGTTGAAACCGGAATCTGGGGCTTTATCTGTTATTACGCATGATGATAGGACAGCCATATTTCATAACTACTTGCAGAGGGGTTGCCTCCAACAGCAAAGGGATTACCTTAACACCGTTGTCTGCAAACGGGCAAAAGCAACTGCTATCCTTTAGGTGTCTGAACCAAAGCGCAACAGGACTTACGAACGGTTTTGGGGAACGTCAATAAAAGAAGCCTGTCATCATAAGTCAACAACAAACAGGGAGATGAGAAGCCGTTCTGTGTCGGATGCGACACAGATTTTACCATTAGACACATTTTAACAGAATGTCTAGACTTTGGAGAGATCCAAAGG